TCCCTATAGGCACTTGAACACCAGAGACATACCTACCTTTTCAGCTTTTTTATGACTGAAAGTAAGAGATTCTCAGAATTTTATACCAGAGCTAGTTTCACACCTCAGTTCTCAGATCTCATGCTTCAGAATAGCTAGCATTTGAGGTGTAAGCGGCTGGTGTGTCCTACAGTTTTTTGTTGCTTGTTTATTTTGTTGTTTGAATCAGTCTCCTATAGAGCCCATATCTTCCTTTCCTTGTGCTGGACTCCTCAGCCACTTGAATGTAACAGTATACAGCACTTTAAAAAATATTTAGCATTCAGAGAAGATGGTGGAAAGACTACAGGAGCCAACTAAGCTCTCTCCAAAGAAGCAGTGTCTTAGGGACACACCAGGACTTCCATGTTTAGAGAATCATGCCAAGTAAGCTATAATTATACAGAGATTTATACCAAAGAAGAAAATTATAAACTACCTGCATAAAAAGACACGGTGGGGGGGCTGGGAAGGTGGCTCAGTGGTAGAGCGCTTGCCTTACATGCCTGAGGCCCTGGGTTCGATTCCTCAGTACCACATAACACAAAAAGAAAAAAGCCATTAGTGGTGCTGTGGCTCAAATGGTAGAGCGCTAGCTTTGAGCTGAAGAGCTAAGGGACAGCGCCCAGGCCCAGAGTTCAGGCCCCACGACCGTAGCCCCCCCCCCCCCAAAAAAAAGAAGACACTGTGGCAGCAGCGGCATGAGCACCAGCTACAGTAACACCAGCAGCAGTGACTGAGTCAGCAGCTCAGAGAGCAGTGTGGCCCAATGTGTGCACTTTCTACATACCTCCAGTGTGAATTCAAAGACCAGGAATGGGAGCCCACAGCCTGCTGGCCCCACTTGGATGCAGAGACAACTTGTCACATCACTCAGAGTCCAAAACACAAAAGGAAAATGTGAGTACTTACAAAAGAAACCCTCCCTCCCTCCCAGAGAACAGCATCTGGAAGGAAACTCCTCCCCCTAGTGGAGAAGAACACCATCTTTGAAAGTGGCAAAGAATCGGCCAGAGGATCTGGCTGCAAACACTTGCCAAGGAAGCAGTACTAGTTTTTGAAAAGTTCAAAGGAACAGGATACCCTTGCATCACTCCTCTTCAGTGGAAAACAAAAGGCCTGCCCAAGAAGAGGCAACCCCGCCCAGGGAGAGGGAGTACCTGCCAGGACAGGCCAGCACAGGTAGAGGTGGTCCCAGCCCTCAGCAGTGAGCAAGGACAAGCTCAGCAGTCCAGAGCTATTGTAGTTCAGCTCTGGCACTAGCCAGGCACTTTAGAATTTACAAAACTGAACGTCTCTAAAATCTCACTGAAAGAAACAACAGGACAAGTGGTAAAAGCTAAGGGTGATTTCAGGTTGGACTAAGAGAGGTATCATGGGAGCTAGCATCTCCAAGGCAGTCCACTGATTCCAGATATTCTGCAGTACTGCCCACATCCAAGTGCGCTGCAGAGATTCTAAGTGGCATATAACAGCCACCTCATTCGTGTTCTAATACACAAAGAAATTTCCCTCTCCCACTAAGTTAGGCTGGGAGGAGGCCTGCAAAGACTTCAGGTTGGTAAGGCAAAACTCTACCATTCAAACAATGACTTGAGAATTCATCTGTTCACTTGAGTTATAGGTAAGATTCAAACAGGCATGAGTCTGGGAATCTGTAACAGCCACACCCCCCCCTATCAAGATGGCTCCTGCATCCTACACAAGGAAAGCTTACCATCACAAGGAAATAAAAAACTCCACTAAGAGATGGAATAGAGAACACTGGGGAGACACAAGGTCCCCCAAATTGTAGAACCACTCTTTTTCATCGTAAGTCTTGTTTTGTTTTTTTCTTTTTCTTGCTATTCTGTTTAGTCTTATATATACAATCTGCAGTGGTTAGTAGGCCTCTTAGATGTGTGCACACTTAATTCTGGCTATGTTTTTATTGCTCAACTTGCCAAAATCAACTCTAAATGAATCAAAGCCTTCAATGTAAGACCAGATATCCTGATAATATTACAGAAGGAGATAGGAGGAACACTAAGACTCCTTGCCACAGGTCAAAACTTCTTAAGATCCAGAATCACAACAAATCAAAGACTGGATGAATGAGATTATACCAAACTGAAGAGTTTTTGCATGGCAAAAGACATAGATAGCAAAATAAATAGAATGCCCACAGAATGGGACACGATCTTTACTAGCTATGCATCAGACAAGGGCCTCATATCTAAAATATACTCAGGGCTAAAAAAATTAAACCTTCCTTAAAAACAAATCCTCAAAGAAACAGCAACCCAATAAAAGAAATGGGCTAACGATTTAAAGAGAGCCTTCACAGGAGAAGAAATAACCAATACATAAGTGAAATAAGCCAAGCCCAAAGAAACATAGGTGCCATGGTTTCCCTTATTGGCAATAACTAGTATAAGTTTAGGACAAGCAGAGAAGGTCAAAAGCTATGTACATATGACCACATAAGATGATGTTGAGCAAAATGAACCCCAAGATAGGGACACAAATGGTTTTTTCTTTCTTGCTATTGTTTTTAACATATTTATAACGTACTATGTGATTTTTTTTTTTGTTTCTTTAGTATGTTCTCCATGGTATAACCCCTGTTTTCACTGTATTTGATGTTGGTGCCCTGCATCTTGTATACACATTTTTCTAATTTGGGGAGAGGAAGGGAAATAACAAAATGCTGAAATAAGGATACAGGTTGACCCATTGTAAGAATGAGGTGTACAAGACACTATGTTGAAAACAAACTTTACAACTTCAGGGTGGGAGGGAGGAGTTAGTGAAGTGAGGAGGGAAGACGTGGTAGGGGAAAAACAAAGGAGGAGGTAACAATGCTTGATAGGAAATGTACTCATTACTTTACTCAAGTAATTGTAATCCCTCTGTTCAGTATTTTTACAAGAAAAACATAAAAAAGGAATGACCAATAGACACATGAAAATATGTTTGACACCTCTGACCAAAAAAGACATGCAAATCAAAACAACGTTGAGATTCCCGAGACTGATCAAAAACAAACAAACAAAAAAAACAGTTCAAATGTGGTTTATTTGGTTGTCCTACTTTGTTAGGTTTTGCCCAGATTATAATCACTACACCAGGGCTGGAAAGTTGGCTCAGTGGTAGAGTGCTTGCCTTGCATGCCTGAGGCCCCGGGTTCAATTCCTCAGCACCACATAAGCAAAAAGCAAAAAGCCGGAAGTGGCGCTGTGGCTCAAGTGGTAGAGAGTTAGCCTTGAGCTGAAGAGCTGAGGGACAGCGCCCAGGCCCAGAGTTCAGGCCCCACGACCGGACCCAAAAAACATTAATATATATATATATATATATATATATATATATATATATATATAATAAAAAAAGAATCACTACACCACCATAACTGAGCATGCTAGTGTCCTGGACTACTTGGTAATCATATCAAGAGATTCTGGGATGGACTATTTGCTCTGCATGGATCTCAATATCATTGTTTCCAGGAATGAGACTAATCCATTAATCTCCTGGGGCTCAGCTTTTGTTTGGCAATGAACCGTGGGAGGAGGTTGCCCCTGTATTTCCTTTCTCTACTCAGTCTTATAAGCTACTGTCTCTTTAACCACAGGTTGTCCAGAGAAACAAAATCTCTCCTCCCAGAGGATAACAATCCTCCCAACTGCACATCTGAGACTTGAAGCCACAATGACATAGATGCCCCTAAAAGAAGGGGGCAAAAGCCAACTTTCTACCAGATACAGAACTGAGAGTCTTTGTGAAGATGCGGAAGATCTTTCTGGATCCATAATAACTTTTGCTAGTAAGGTAGGTGCATGTCCTAACATCAAAATGACTGTGACTCTAGCACAGCAGCAGAAAAGAGGCACACTGCAATGCCATAATTGGATCACTGCAAAACCTAAGCAAAGAAGATTGTCTCTCTTTGACAGTTGAACTGTTCTACTCTATAAAGACTGGTAAAAATGTACAAAAATCAGAGATAGCTTTTCCTTTCACTGGACCTGGTGAGAACAAATGTGGGCTAGAATGTCTGCTGCTTGCTAAGTCAACAGCCTGTGCTAAATTACTTCCTTTTAATGCCCCCCAATGTCTTGTATATAAAATAATTGTATGTATGTGAAGTAAAATACCTTCCTTCAGGACTGCGGGAAAAATTTAACAAGATAACAAATAGATGTTATTAATGTGATAAGTCTTCAATTGCTCAATAATTTTTTTCCACTGATAATGTTTCTCTTAACACTCTAGAAGTCACTAAAGCCTTAGAAATTACTTAGTTCAACTCTTACTTTCATAGGCATTTTATTTTATTTATTTATTTTTATCTTTTTTGCCTGTCATGGGCTTGAACTCAGGGACCGGGCACTGTATATGAGCTTCTTTGGCTCAACACTAGTGCTCTACCACTTGAGCTTCAGCACCACTTCAGGCTTTTTCTGTTTATGTGGTATTAAGGAATTGAACCTGGGGTTTCATGAATGCTAGGCACGCACTCTACCACTGAGCCATACTCTCAGCCCTTCAGAGGAATTTTCTAAAGGTATTTTATTTTGTTCATGTGATTATATTCAAATTTCTACAATGATATTTCAGTTAAACCTGTCAACAACTCTTATATTTGAACCTAGAATCAGATTAACTTACCACAAAACCCCAAGTCAGGAAACAATTCTGCTCAATACAAAATGGCAGCCCCTCAGTTTTGTAGTCTCCTTAAAGTCTCCTTAATGCTTTCTCTTTATTTTTTAGCCACCAACATGTCTTTTTTATGTCTTAAATTCATGTTTAACCATAGCAATGGTTAATTCTATATATTTATATAAGGTATTTATATACTTGTATTAATGAGAAACATAATATCGTTCCAAATTATATTATGTATTTGCCAGGCTTTATGTTTTAAAATTTGAGAAACTCAGGATTCGAAGTATTATATGGGTAAGTCTTATTTTGAAACATAAATTAATATGAAATTCATATTCTGTTGACTTTATTTCACAAATTTGTATATCATCCTTGAGCAGGGGCCATGCTAATCTTCTCTGTATCGTTCCAATTTTAGTGTATGTGCTGCTGAAGTGAGCACTCTGTTGATTTTATTGAAAGGGTGAGGTCAACAAAATTCTCCTGGGCCCATCCTCTTGACAGAGCCCACTGACTTTTATCTCGATAAAGAAGAAAAGGTAAGCTCCCAATTTATATGTCATATTTTAAAGTAGTAATTAAAGCACTTTCTGCATTGGTAGCTGTGACAACAAAGTGTTGAGCACCATATACATATTACCACAATGTTCTCAAAACTGTCTTAACAAGCTATATTTTTTTGGGCTGGGAAGGTGGCTCAATGGTAGAGCACTTGCCTTGCATGCTCGAGGCCCTGGGTTCGATTCCTCAGCACCACATAAGCAAAAAATTAAAAGCCAGAAGTGGCGCTGTGGCTCAAGTGGTAGAGTGCTAGCCTTGAGCTGAAGAGCTGAGGGACAGTGTCCAGGCCCAGAGTTCAGGCCCCACGACCGGACCCAAAAAAAAAAACCAAGCTATATTTTTATTAGCCTCCCTTGTACAGGGTCTTATCAGGCTTATTAGCCTTGAATCTAGTCTGAAAACTCAAAAGCAAATCAAAGAGACAGAAAAGAAGACACGTTATTGACAAAATCATAAAATAGTTTAATTAAAAATCTTACTCTTTAAGATGATAGTATGGATTACTAATAATTACATGTGCTTATGTAATACCTACTTCACATTGCTCATGTATAGAATACATAAAATGCTAAAGTATGTATTCATTTCCATTCTATTTACATACTGTAATTTTTTATTTTTTGATATATTTATGATTTATTATAATATGTTAAATTTGTCCATGGAAATAAAAATGATTCATGAAAATCATCATCTTTTAACTTGGAGAAGATTGAGAAGAGATTTGCATTAGAAAATCTATCTGGTATCATTTCATGTTATCCTCCTTAGGATCAGGAAGCAAGAGAGCTCTAGATATCTCATGTCTTGGAAATCTTTCCAGTTTATTATTAAACCAAACCAAGAAAGATTAAAGTGATGGAAGTGGTGCCCACAATGCTTCAAAGTAGCAGGTGGCAGGCATACTGGTGTGACATTAGAACAGGCAGAAGTAAATATCAATGGCTCCAATCCAATAGCTTTTGTATTATTTTTAGTATGTCAAACAGCCAAAGTCTTCCAGCATAAATAGCACTTGATTTTTTTCATGCTCAGTATTTATTGGGTCATAGCCATGTCCTCAGTCCCCAGTATCATAAAAAGCTCACAACTAGCCAGTGAATATAGTTTTGTCACTGATGAATGAAAATGAAAGCCTGAAAGGTTCATCAGCTTGGAAAAAGTCATTCAGAGAAATAACTGTGAATTTAAGTGTATGTATATGCATAGTATGTCAATGTAGCACATATGCATGTGTGTACATGTATGTTGTGTGTGTGTTAGAATGAGGGTCTCACTTTGGGCAGATAGTGAGTCATTAGTACAGCCTACTCTTATTTTTTTATTCCTTTCTTCTTGTGATACCTCTACCACATTTCCTAAAAATTACTGAAGTATGTCTCATTTATTTTTTGATATATATTATAATTATTAACACATATTGTAATATTTCCATACATGATCTTGCTTACTGCCTTGACACAACAGAGAGCTGAACATCAACCACATTGCCAGATATAGCTCTCTGGGTCTAAATTATTATATTTGTACCAAATAGACTTATCTACATGAAGCTGGGCAGCCAAAAGGTTGATAACAATGAGACAAAAGCATTTCCTGCACTATTTGTTCTTTGCTTAGTTGTCATTAATGCTGCAGATCCAGGTTCCCTTTGCACCTGCAGATTTTTCCATTCTATGCAAATCAACTGCGTAGAATTGAAGGGCAAAAAGTGATGGTGTTCAAACCTTCAGTGGAGATGTGAGTCAGTGGGATCATAGCCAATGTGAGACCTTGAGTTCAAACCCTGGTACCACTGAATGAAAAACAAGGAGGGAAGGAAGGAAAGAAGGGAGGAAGGGAGGAAGCAAGGGAGGGGAAAAGGAAAGAAGGAAGAAAGGAAGGAAAGAAAGAAGGGAGGGAAGGAGTGTGGGAGGAAAACTTTATTGAAGAAAGTAGCATAAAGGATACAATAGCAAGAAGATTGATTAACCAAGCTCTGAAGTCAGCCTCTAAAGTTTCAGACCTTGCCACCACAAGATGAATGACCTTGGGCAAGTCCTTCAGTCTGAATGAGCTTGTTTCTTCATCTGCAAAATTGAAATAAAAGAAGCTTCAGCCTCATAAATTTGGCATCAGTGTTGAATGACATCAGGTACATAAACGACCTGGCCTAGACCAAGAACTTCATGAACATTGGCTTTTCTTATTGAGTCATATTTATACTATTAATTTGATATACTGTTTCTGCTTATACATTCTGGGTGTGTTCCAGAAACAAAGAACATATATAAAAACAATAATTAATAATACAAGCTGGATAAGTCTCACATGAGTAGTATGATCCAAGTTAAGGAAATTCAAAGGAAAGGGGGATTATGGAATTAGGTGGAAAAAAGTTAGATTATAGATGGAGTTCAGAAAGGGTGAGTGGCTTTACTAATGTCACAAAGCTAGTCTTGAAAGAGTTGGGATTAAAGTCCAGCTCTCCTAATTAATATTGGAAGACTGTCTCAGAAAACTGCACCACAATAGCACTAATGAAAATAATCTTAAAATATAAGAAGTTTACAAATGAACTCTTTTTTACAAGCTAGGCATGTTGCACATATTTTCTCATTAAGCCTTTGTAATAACACTGGGAGTTAGGTCTTATATTTTCCCATTTGATAGATGAGATCATTAAGGAGTAACGTCTTATAGCCAGAACATATCTGAGCCAGGTTATTGAAGGTTTCTAACCAATTATATTGGAGGCTTGAAGAGAAGAGGAAGGCAGGGCAACCAGTATCAGGGAAAATGGCAAGCCACATCTCAGTGGTAAACATGAATATGAATATTCCCTTTTTATTATCTTTAAGTAGGCATACAAGAGGATTTCAATTCAGTATGTCAGTTCATGAGTACAATGCATCTTGATCAATGCCATTCCTTCCATCATTTTTCCTCATCTATCCCAACCCCATTCACCCCCTCAAGTTACCTGATTTCATGGATATTCATGAAAAGTAAATGGACTACTTTTACTGAAAGAAGATATTCACCCAGAAGAAGTAGCAGATGGAATAAATACAAGAATAAAATAGACAATTGGAAGGAGGCCTTGAATGCCAATCCAGGCAACACTGCTGGAGAGAAAGTAGAGACAGAAGACTTGAACTTGACAATCCTATAGTAATAATGAGTGAGTGTGTGAGTGTGTGTGTGTGTGTGTGTGTGTGTGTGTGTGTGTGTGTGTGTGCGCGCGCGCACGCTGGTCCTGGGGTCCTTGAGCCACAGTTCCACTTCCAACTTTTTTGGACTCTCACAGACTTTCTTGCCTAGGCTGGCTTTGAACCACAATCTCAGTTTCCTGAGTAGCTAGGATTAAAGGCTTGAGGCACTGGCACCCAGAATTATAGTGATTTATGAATTCATTCTGGTCATAGACAGAAAGAAGAGGAACAGTCCATGGCAAGGAAACCCATCAATGGCTGAGAGCAACAACTCCAAAGGAAGGAGTTGAAGGTGGAAGTTTTTCAACTTGCTAGGTAGTACCACAAGACAACTTCCAAATCTTTTCTGATACCCCCCTACCCATCTTTCCCCACAGACCGTGGTACTTCTCCACCAGCAAAGTCCTGTGGAATCATGAATTTTTTTCACTACCAGATATTTAGATTCAGCTGGTTCACCAAGCCAGCTGGCAGACATTTCCACAGAAACCATCAACTTGGGGCACACCTTGCTCTTGCTGACTTGGAAGCCATCAATCGTTGTGAAATGTCACTGCCTAAGAACTTTAACTTTGCTGGGGATGTGATAGATCAGTGGTCACAAAAAGAGAAGGTATATTATGGCTGGACTTCACTGTATGCTTCCCCTATCTCTGTCTTTTTTCTCCTTGCTTTGTGGTCAACTTTTCTATTTAATTCATTTTTTTTACCTGCCTTGACTTGTTGTTTTTTGCTTTTGTTTTGTTTTGATTTGTTTTTGGTGCCAGTCTTGGGGCTTGAATTCTCAGCCTGGCTGTTGTCCCTGAGCTTTTGTGTTCCAGGATAGTGCTCTACCACTCGAGCTATAGCTCCACTTCTGGCTTTTTTTAATTTTTTTGGTGCTTAACTGAAGATAAGAATTTCACAAACTTTCCTGCCTGGGCTGCCTTCAAACTGTGATCCTCAGATCTCAGCCTCCTGACTAGCTAGGATTACATGTGTAAGCCAATGGTGTCCAGCCTGCCTTAGCTTTTGTTGTTTTCTACTTTCCTTCCTCTTTCCTCAGTGATCATAGATACTCAACTACTTACAGCTTTCTCTGGAACCTCCTTAGTTCCTTCACTCCTTCCCTACTTCCTCCACTATGATGAATCAAAAGACTTAGGGTTTTTTCTTTTTCTCCAAGTCCCATAAAACATCTCTTTGGGTTTGAGATGGTCACAGGCTTATCCAAAAAGGTAGTAATTTCAGGGCTGGGAAGGTGGCTCAGTGGTAGAGTGCTTGCCTTGCATGCCTGAGGCCTTGGGTTCGATTCCTCAGCACCACATAAGAAAAAAGAAAAAAAGCCAGAAGTGGTGCTGTGGCTCAAGTGGTAGAGTGCTAGCCTTGAGCTGAAGAGCTGAGGGACAGCGCCCAGGCCCAGAGTTCAGGCCCCACAACTGGACCCAAAAAACAACAACAACAAAAAAAAAAAAAGGTAGTAATTTCAGCTTTAGTTTTATCAGTATAGTAATCATTGGAATAATTGGAGAAGAATCAGAGAGCGACAAGAATCAAGCAAGCATGCCTTCCAGAATCTTGGAGTAGGAAAAGGGCCTTCTTTACTGTTCCTCCACACTATGCCAGCACTGAGCTAAGCACTTTACCTTTCAGTGCTTATCAAAATGCACTGTGGGACTTGTGGTTCAGAAGTAGATGTTAGGCCCTC